TTTCTAAAAAAGGAATTACAGACCAAAAAAAGTACATTAGGGGGCCAGGGATTTAGCTCAGTGGTACTGCTGCCTGCCTCGCAAGTGCAAGGTCCTGAGTTCGATCCCTGGTACCAAAAAAAAAAAAGCACGTTAGATCTAAAATGTACAGTGAATCCTTGACTTACAAACTCAATTCATTCATGAGGGCTGGTTGTAGCTAAAGTTGGTCAGTTAAAGGGTCAGGCTTCTCTACATAGCCTTCAAAGTCTCTCTCCTGGATACAGGCAGATCTCAGTGTCCTTAGACAGACATTGACCCAGCATATCTCAATTAATGCCACACATGAAAGAATGTTGTAACATTCCTTCTGGAACTCTTAAGGGTTAATCTGTATCTGAGACCATCTGGAAACACAAGCAGCCAGCATTTGGGTTGTAACTCAAGAGTTTGGTTGTTTCTCTTTACTTGTGGAACCTTAGCCTCCTCATTTTCTTTCTTTCCACATTGGACTTGAGCAGGGAATAGCTGCATAGATGACAACTGTTAGTCTCTGCAGTGAGATACATGGAAGATGTCACTGTGTGTATGCACAGAAGTCCCTTTCCACTTGTTTCTTAAAAATAATTTCTAGGATGACTCCTACTTGGTCATGGTGTATAATCTTCTTGATGATTTGCTGCATCCTATTTGCCAGTATTTTATTGAAGATTTTTGCATCTATGTTCATTATGGAGATTGGCCAGTGGGTCTCTGTTTTGGTTGGGTCTTTCTCAGGTTTCGGTATCAGAGAATGCTTGCTTCCAGGAATGAGTTTGGGAGTATTGCTCCCCTTTCAATTTCATTAAAGAGTTAGAGGAATAGTGGCATTAGATCTCTTCTAAAGTTCTTATAGAATTCATCAGTGAATCTATCAGGACCTGGGATTTTCTTTGTTGGTAGTTTTTCAACTACTCCTTAAATTTCATTGGCTGACATTAGCTTATTTAGAATTTTTATATTTTCCTGATTAATCTTTGGTAATTCATATGTATGTAGAAATATGTCCATTTCTTTTGAGTTTTCCATCTTATTGGAGTACAAGTTCTTGATGTAGGTGTTGATGATCTTCTGGATTTTTGCAGGGGCTGTTGTGATTTCATCCTTTTCATTCCTAATTGGATGGATTTGAATTTTTTCTTTCCTTTTTTGATAAGATTGGCTCAGGATTTGTTACTTTGATTTAATCTTTCAAAGAACCAACTAACCCTTTGATTCATTGATTCTTTGTATTGTTTTCTTGGTCTCAATTGTATAAATTTCTGGTCTGATCTTTGTAATTTACTTTCTTATTCATGCTTTGGGTTTAAATTGCTCTTTTTCTAGAAGCTTAGGGCTCAACATTAAGTTATTAATTTGAGCTTGTTCTGTTTTTCTTATGTAGGAATTCACTGCTATAAATTTCCTTTGTAGGACTCCTTTATGTCCTATAAATTCCAGAATGTCATTATTGTTTAACTGTAGAAAATGTCTGATTTCTTCTTTAATTTCATCTGTGACTCATTGGTTGTTCATGAGGTTATTTAATTTTCATGTGTTTATGAAGTTTTTGTGGCTTTTTTTATTGAATTCCAATTTCATTGAACTATAATCTGATAATATTTTTGGAATAATTTCACTTCCTTTGCATTTACTTAAGCATGTTCTGTGAAATAGTATGTGGTCTATTTTAGAGAAAGTCCCATGTTCTGCTGAGAAGAATGTATATTCTGTTGTTGTTGGGTGGAATGCTCTGTGGATATCTACTAAGTCTATATATTCATGTTTGGTTCAGTTCTGATATTTCTGTGTTGATTTTTTTACTAGTTGATCTATTTGTGACAGTGGGGTATTGGAGTCCCCCTTACAATTGTATTAGTGTTTATCTGGTTTTCTATATCCATTAATATTTGTTTTATATAGTTGGGATTCATTCCAGATATGCAGGGATGGTTCAACATGTGCAAATCAATACATATAATTCACCACGTGAAGAAAACCTTGGGGGGGAAAAATACATGATCATCTCAATAGATGCAGAAAAAGCATTTGGAAAAGTCCAATACACATTCATGAAAAAACCCCACAGAAACTTGGTATAGGTCTTTATCTTAATCCAACAAAAGATATGTATAACAAATGAACAGCAAATATAATACTAAATGGTCAAAAATGGGAAACTTTTGCTCTAAAAATCAGAAACAAGACAAGGATGCTCACTATTGCCACTCTTACTCAATATAGTTATGGAAACAGCCAGAGCAATTAGACAACAGAAAGAAATAAAACAAATATTGATAGGAAAGGAAGAGGTTAAATTCTCCACCAAAAGATTCCTAGAATAACCCAATTTGGCAGTGCAGAACACAAAGTCAACACTCAAAAATCAATAGCATACCTCTACATAAATAACAAACTTACTGAGAGAGAAGAAACTAGGAAAACAACACTTTTCACAATGGCATCAAAAAAAATGAAACAGTCTAACAAAGGAAGTGAAAGAGTTGTACAATGAAAATTGTACAGTACTCTGAAAAAGGAGATGGAATAGGATATCAGAAAATGGAAAGGTGTGCCCTGTTTTTGGATGGGCAGAACCAATGTAGTGAAAATGGCTATACTTCCAAAACTATTATAAAGAGTTAATATAATCCTAATCAAAATACCAATAGCATACTTCACTGAACTAGAGAAAACTATCCTAAAATTCATATGGATCAAGAAGAAACCTAGAATTGCAAAAGTATTTCTGGGCAACAAGGGCAAGGCAGGAGACATCACAATCCCTGATATGAAGTTACACTACAAAGCTACCATGATTTTTTAAAAAATAAAGCATGGTACTGGCAAAAAACAAAAACAAACAAAACTGACCTGAAGATCAATGGAACAGAATAGAAAAGGCAGAAAGAACTCCAAGCACACTCGCCTACCTTATCTTTGACAAAGGGGCAAAACACCTCCACTGGACAAAAGATAACCTCTTTAACAAATGGTACAGAGATTATAGGCTTTCCACATGCCAAAAGACTCATATTCTCACCATGCTTTAAACTAACATCAAAATAGATCAAAGACCTAAATATAAAAATGGAAACACTTAATCTACTGGAAGATAGAACAGGTAGAACTCTAGAAGATACAAGAATAGGCAAAGACTTTATGAACAAAACCCTAATATACAGAAAATATTACAAAGAATTAACAACTAGAATCACATCAAATTATAAAGCTTCTGCACAGTAAAAGAAACCACCAACAGAGTGAAGACACAACCCACAGAATAGGAAAGTATTTTTTGCCAGCTACTACTCAAAGGACTACTATTTAGAATATGTAAAGAACTCAAAAAAATTGGACCCCCCCCCAAAGAGTTTCACGACCCAATCCAAAAATGGACATCTGAAATGGTAGGAACCAGCCTACAAGCTCAAATCTGACAAAGGGATGATGAAGATGAAACATAAAGAGACACAGAAACAAGTTAAAACCTGGGGGGCCAGAGGGCTAATGTCTCCCTTTGACACAGAGCCCCAAATGACTGGCTCACCTTGGTTTTATTCACTCAGACACAGGCATGAGCAATTCATCTATTTCCCACCTTCCATGGTTTACTTCTGGGTAAACAACTTAACCTCAGGTGTTTTTACTTTTCCCTGCAGCAAGTCAGCACATTTGCATGCCCTCTTCTCAGTGATCGCCAAGGAGGCCAATTAGGCCTCATTCTTCTCATCTGATCTCCACATGAAACAGACATTTCTCAGATGTCAAAGTGGAAATGGCAAATAAATATATGAAAAAAATGCTCAACATCACTGGTAATGCGAGAAATGCAAATTAAAACATCACTGAAATTCCCCTAATGTAGTAAGAGAAGGGCACTGGGGCTTTAACTTTGGCTAATAGAGATTTCAAATAATTTTTTGCCATGCTACTTTTACATTATACAGAGTTGGTGAAAATCGGATGTCAAGCAACTCCGAGACCTGGCCAACCAATTCCAATAGATCACTCCAAGGTCTTCAAAAACTTCTGTGGCTGATAGCTGTGGGCAATGGTTAGCAGGGCAGGGGAGCTCCCCATCCCCACGATTTCCTTTCCTTCCATCACAGCCCTGATTAGAAGGCCATGGAAAGGAGGCCCAGCTTGGACTGCTGGATCATGATAGCCTGGGAAAACAAAGGAGGACTGCTGAAAACAGTGCCCACATGGCCTTGATGGTAAGACTATGAATCTTGGAAAAGGGAACCCTGTGTGATTTAACTATTGCCTCCCAGTGTTTCATGGGGCCTGGCGTGGTAAAATAGTGGTTCTTTGAAAAGGAATATATCCTCTGGTAAAATTGGAGAAGACAAAGAATTGTGGGAGGATATGGCTATCACATTTCTAAGAATCATTTTTTAAATTTTAAAACTAATATGTGTTCATTATAGAGAATTTGGAAAACATGAAGATCCACAGAGGGAAATAAAAGTTGCCTGTAATCCCACCAGCCAAAATAATTATTTTATATTAGGTTATATTTCCTTTCATATATATACATTTGTTCATTCGTGATCATTTCTAGATACTGTTAAAGGCATGATTGCAATGACTGCTTGATATAAAGGTGGCCAGTTCTTATGTAAAATTATTAAGTCTATCATTTTGGCTATTACAAACTTCTAGCTATTAAAATAACTGTTATGAATATTTCTTTACAAAAATCTTTGGCTATCTGCGATTATCTTTATAGGATAAACTCCTAGAAGTAGGATTAGAGAGTAAAATGTGATTATTTTTAATGTTTCTAATATATACGGCATTAATTGCCCTCGGGAAATGTTGTTTCTAATTTGCTTTCTAAATTCCAAGAGCTGAGCTTGTTAGTACAAAGGGTTATTGCAGCTTTATTAGATGAAGTAATCATTATTATTCAATTATGATAATGATTTAGAAAACCTGAGTCTACCCATTTTAAATAGAATGAGATTGATTGGCTCGTGTATTTGGAAAGTCAAAGCTTCACTGTTGTTCTCCCTAGTTTCATTCTCCCTCGGATTTTGTGGTTATGTATGACTTTGTGGTGATGTATTTCTTTTAAGAGGAGAAAAGGGATTCAGTCCAAAACCACTTAATAAAAATCATTCTTAGTAACTAAGTTAGGCTAGGATTACCAAACACTGGATTAAGAAGACCCTGTAACTCCGGTAGGAATTAACAGTCCTGCCATTCCAGAGCCAGAGGGAAGAACAAACTGTTGCTCACAACAACAAAGGTATGTAATTGGAGTTAACAGTCGCTGTGTATTAAATGTCCTAGTAAACATCGACAGTCTTAAAACTTCACCAGCACAACAGGCAAAAGAGGTATTCTATTGCTGTTCTACTTTGCATTTAATTGGTTACCATTGGGATTTAATGCACTTTTGAAAATATCTATTGGTCATTTGTACATATCCTTTATTGAAATATTTCTCTAGACTGCTTTCCCACCTTTCTCTTACAGATTGTAAATTATATTTAGCAGTTTAAACATGTAGAACAGTGACTCTCTGGTTGCATGTTAAACTCATCTAGTGAGTTTCAAAAAAGCATAGGATGACCTCACCTTCAAAGATTCTGGTTTAATTCACACAGCGTATGTTTTTTCAGTCTCTGAAAATTCTATGTTGCTTCCAGGGTTGAGAAATGTTAAACTTTTGAAACACTTTCCTTACCTCTCTTTCATGTCACACTTGGAACTTTGATTCTTTTATAGCTTACTCTGGAATGCTGCAAGATAACAAAAGTATCTCTAGTAAATGAAGCTCTTATTCAGACCCTGGAAAAAAACAGAATGATATGAATATTCATGACCACTTAGTATGAATTAAGTCAAGCAATCAGCCATTTCTCCAGCAGGGTCAATGCAGCAGTGCATTGCTCCTTCCTTTCTGATTAAGAGGAAAAGGCAAAGATGGTCCTAAGAAACCCAGTTTAGGAAGGTATATTTGCAAATAGGGAGGTAAACTGAAATTCATTTTATTGAAAATCAGAAACATATTTACTTCTACCATGGTTGTTTATGGCATTGTAAATGTGTTTACAGAAATAAATGGTGTTATGCTTGGCTTATTTCCACTCCTAAAGAGCCTAAGGAAATATAAACAGACATTTCTTTTAACAAATGACAGTTCTACGAAGCAGTTATTCTGCATGCATCTACCTTCTCCATGTTTAGGAACTAGCAAGGTACTTGTTATTCCCAGGATGTGTTGAGTCAATGAAATCAAATGAGAAACTTTGTTCCTTCCAATACTGAACTGACAAATTGCTTGCTTTTTTTTAAAAATCAGAAACACCTCACTGCTTTGAATCATCAATCAGGAGAAACTGCTGCATAAATATTCCTTTTCTTGGCTGTAACTAAGATGTGCTTCCTTTTTTGGTGTTCAGGAGGACTATTAAGACCTTTGAATATGAAGAAGAAAGTTAGCATTTCAACTCAGTGATTCCTGCCATTACCTTTAAGTATTTATTTGATGAATCATCGTGTATATTTGAAATCTTTACACCTACATCACTGATTGATCATCTTTAATTATCTTACTCAATCTTTGTGCAAATGTATCCATAAGCTGTTTGATAATATTTTATTTATCAAATTATGAAGATATTTAGCATCTTATATATCATTATGCAAAATTACAAATATCACTAGACAGAGGTAAACAATACTAAGGAGTGTTAACTGCCCTCTTGCCCTTAAAATAAAACCTAGACAGAAAATAATCAGCCTTGAAAACTGGAGATCAAAAATCTTAGGTCAAATCAGCCTATTCTTCCCTCACTCAGAGTAGCCACCAAGTAAGAGAATACTGACGGCTCTATTGTTGATCTCTGGTTTTCAAGGCTGATTATTTTCTGACTAGGTCTTATTTCTAGGGGAAACATGGTGGTTGGCATTTGACAAGTAATTTTGTTGTCCTCAGGAAAATATGAGAAGGTAAATTGATTTTAGGGTCTGAAAAAATAAGTATAGAGCTTTAGCAAACACCTCCCCTGCAAAAGACAGAATCTGTTATTTATTCATTTTAACTTATATTTGTATCTCACCGTGTCTAAAAAGTATAAGGGAAATTCCTAAAAGACTTTATTATTTTAGCAGTTTAAGTTGATCTACCAAGCCCAGAGTAGTATTTAAAGAAAATCTCTTTCTTGCCCCCTTGAGAGTTAATAATAAAATATGCAGATTTTGAAAAGTATAATCAGTCCCCATGGAGGTTGCTCCTAACTTCATGATTTGCAAACCCATCAAAGTGCAGCAAACTGTGCAGTTTAGCAATGAGAGAAAAATCTGCTCCTACCCTGTCTTTCCAGATAGGTGCCCCTCCCCGCCTTCTGCAAGCTCTTCATCTTCTTTTAGGTTCATAAATGTAGCAGACAGAGAAAGGCTTATGAATCACAGAGAATCTGGTACAAATTTCTTTCACATGTATGTTAGGAGCACCATAGTTAATAATATTATATTTAGAATTTTTGCTAATAGAGTAGATTTTAGATGCTTTTACCAAAAGGGAAGGGAAGGTAACTGTGAGCTAATGGATGTTTTTGTCTGTTTGTTTGTTTTTTTGTTTTTTAAAAGGGGAAAAGGTTTATTTGGCTTACAGTTTGTGAAAGTTTCAGTCCATAACTGGTTTGCTCCAAGGTAGAGTGGCAGAGGCTCAACAGTTCATGGCTGTGGAAGACAGCAGACTGGATATGTTGATTTGCTCAACTGTAGTAACCGTTTCACTGTGTTTATGTATTTTAAAATGTCAAGTTCTACATCTTAAATATATCCTCAGTGATAATGATAAAAAAACCCTCCATTACATACATATTATGTGACCTTGAGGAAGTTATTAACCTTTCAAACTTCATTTCCCGAATAGCATCATGGGCATATTTAAAAGTAAAGATAACAATATAAAGAGAAGAGAGAAGGAAGGTAGGGAAGAATAAAAAAAGCAATGGAGAGGAAAGAGGGTGGGAGAGAGAGGGAATGGGGTAGGGAAGAAGGAAAGAAGGCAGGAGGATGGGAGAGAAAAGAGATGGATGATGTCATTTGAGTAAAGTGAACAATCTCTCAAGACATGTTAGTTCTTCATCTTGGTGCCCTTTCCTTGACATATCTTATCCCTTAGCCATCTACTCCTCCTCAGCACATTTGTGACACCCAGGCAACATCCTCCACATAGGAAGGATCTGCCACCATCAGGACTGCTGATAGACATGGCCAGGTAGCCCATTCAGACCACAGCATGAAGACAACAAATGGTTCTGGTCTGCTTGAATCAGATTCACGTGGCCAGTGGTTGAACATCAAAGTATTGTTAGGAAAGCCTGAGAATAATTCCTCTGCTATTATTAGGCTTTTATTTAATCCATTTGTCTCACCTAAGCTTTATTTTAAGATTGCCATTATTATGTCCTGTTGAGAAAGCAAGCCAAACATAAAACGAAGACCTCAGATTTGTTTTGTTTTTATCATAGGAGAGGTGGGCAGCAAGAAAATGAGGACAATATAAGATAGTAAATAGCATTTACTAAACCCTTACTAAGTGTGATACAGTTCTTAAAATGACATGCATTTTATTTCATTTCCTCATAACTTTACAAGGTAGGTATGATGATAAATCATCTCCTTTATACAAAGACATTATAGACATAGGAAGATTAAGAAATGACCTTTAATATATCTTTAACTAGAAAATCTAGAGCTGAAATTGAAACACAGACACTCTGATTCTAGATTTTTTGAACATAATATTTATGTTGAGAATGGGCATAGGTTTAAACTGGATATGCCTTTGGTTTGACCATCATCATTTTCCATATATAGAATAATCTGGCTTTTCCTACATAAATTTTGTTAACCTTCACATCTTTTTAGGACAGGGATAGCAACAGAACTTTGTATCAGAAATCTAGTTGAGTATGAAATGAGACAATACAGGTTAAAAAGAAAACTTTAACGGCACTTGGCATAGAGTAATCTTTCAATAAATATTATCTTTAAATAGTTTCACTTTACTATTGAGGTAATATAAATGGCAACATTACTTCATTTTAATTTGTTAATTGCTAATTTTTGTACATTCATCAAGACACAGGCACAGTGGACCTTGGTACAACTGTTTTTCTCTTAAGCATTATTTCTTTGGAAAAAATGAATTGTATCCTGAAAACTTCATACATTTGGATGAAATGGCTTCTGCTGTTAGGATAAACTCCTGAATAGGATTTAAAAATCATTCTGGAGAGAAGTGAACTGTGTACAATCATAAATTGCCACCCTATTATCCAGCTTTCTTTATACTATCTAATCCTTGTTGTTTTGTTGAGGTCATTAAATTGTAGCTGAAGGGCTCAAGGGAAAGCAGTGTTGTGGGAAAATTACAGTTCAAAATTCAGATACTAAAATTCTTTTTGCTCACAGACTTAAGACAAATGAATACACGCTTTGGTTCCTATGTTGTATATACTTGAACATACACAGGTGACCTCTGAGTTTTCTTCAAAAGAGGGGTACGTTACAATATAATAGCTCCACAAGGAAGCAACCTTAAAAAATGCTAACTGTATCAAATCCAGTTTTATAAATGTGTACTATTTATTGAGCTAGCAGACTGAGTAAAATGAGGGAAACAATTTAAGGGACTTTTCTTCCTTTTAATGACATTTTAAAAAGCATTCCTGATTTTTCTAAATTCCCCCGATCATTAAGCCTGAATAGTATTTCAACTCTGCAATTTGAAATATTACCTAAGATATTTCTGATCAGTGTATATTGTTTTCAGACTGACTAATTCAAAAGAGACTTTAGTAATCTTCATTGTTATCAAAAAGCACTACAGGTAAGAATAACTGCAACTTCCAGCAGGGAAATACAGGTGAAGAAAGCAGAGCAGGAGAAAGGGAATAGAAATTCATAGCAGAGAGACTTAAGTGAACAGAGGATGGGGAAGACAGTCTGGAGGAAAAACAACATGGTGGTTTCTCTAATTGCTAGCCACATCTTAGGCCCTCTAAATGGCCAATGGCCCCAAGGAAGAAAATGAATAGCTTCTTTTCTTCCAGAATGTGTAGTAAGTAAAAAGGTTTTATTTTTATAAAGATTGTCATAGTTTGAAGATGCACTATTTTGTTGTATAGTAAAACAAGCCCAAAAAGGATGAAGAAAGAGGAGGAGGAAAGGGGGATGAATAGGTGGGAGGAGGGAGAGGAAGCAAAGATGCTACTGGATCTCTTTCTC